CATACAGCTTTCTTCACATGGGTGATTATGGGCATACAGCTTTCTTCACATGGGTGATTAGGGGCATACAGCTTTCTTCACATGGGTGATTAGGGGCATACAGCTTCATCCACAATGGTTGATTAGGGGCATACAGCTTCATTCACATGGGTGATGATGAGGGGCATACAGCTTTCTTCACATGGGTGATGATGAGGGGCATACAGCTTTCATTCACATGGGTGATGATGAGGGGCATACAGCTTTATTCACATGGGTGATTATGAGGGGCATACAGCTTCTTCACAATGGTTGATTAGGGCATACAGGGCACAATGGTTGAACGGCTTCATTCACATGGGTGATGATGAGGGGCATACAGCTTTCTTCACATGGGTAATTAGGGGCATACAGCTTTATTCACATGGGTGATTAGGGGCAAATTTCTACGTTCACATGGGCGATTAGGACATATGGCTACGTTCATGTGGGCGATTAGGGGAATGGGATCACAGGTGACCCCAGCTGACTGCATACCTTATTTCTTCGCACATGGTGATTCAGTCATGCGAACAGTTGCAGCCGAGAAACCTGTACAAAGCAATGACAGGCTAAGGCAGAGCCCATAGATGATTCCTTTTTTCTTTTCTTTTTTTTCTTTCTTCAACCAGCGGGTTGAACAAACAAAAATGACTCAATTCCCCCAGCCACACATTCAAGGTTGATGGGGGAATCCTCCCACTGTGGCTTTGTATTCTGACAGCAGAGAGACTTACCTTTTAGAATACACTGATCAACACTGTCAGCTATATCCCGCTGCGCTGATTAAGCAGAAATTTTCCAAAAGGGCTGTTGCACAAAAGTCGATTAGTAGATTGACTTCTGTACCCCAGCCTGCCCATACATGGATTGAAATTCAGTCATTCCCTGCTGATCTGGACTAATTGTAATCCATGTATGACCAGCTTAATGGGAGCCGTGTTCACATATATCCACACATCCAGTGGTTACCTGTGGTTAGAGACGGATGTCCAAGCATGCATGCAGACAGTTTGCACCCAGAACTGATCGTCCCTAACTACAGGTAACCGCTTGATGTGCAGATACATTTATTACATACCACCGTCACTTTACACAGTACTTTACATATATATATTGTATATTCACATCAGTCCCTAACCCTCAAGGGGCATCCAATCTAAGGTCCCTAACTCACATTTATACATACACATACTAGGACCAATTTAGACAGGAGCCAACTAACCTACCAGCATGTCTTTGGAGTATGGGAAGAAACTGGAGTACCTGGAGGAAACCCACACAGGCACAAGGAGAACATGCAAACTCCAGGCAGGTGGTGCTGTGGTTGGGATTCAAACCAACAACCCTAGTACTGTCAGGCAGAAGTGCTAACCAATTAGCCACTGTGCTGCCCATACATGAGAAAAGTCACAGCTCCTGTCAGCCTGTCATTTGTACGGGCTTCCTGATCACAGCTGTTTAAAAATACACGTGTGATCCCAGCCATAAGAATCCCTGTCTGTCCCTAATCGCTGTGTGAATGTAGCCATAATAATCCCTGTCTGTCCAGAATCGCTGTGTGAATGTAGCCGAAATAAAAGGAATAAATAACATAGTCAGATCTTCATTTGTGCTGTGCGGAGGAGGTGCAGACCCAGGTGCTCTTTATATGCCCATATACATGTATCCTAATATTCCCTAAAGCTGCAATTGTTTACATCTGATCATTATATACAACCAAAGTCATGGAAGAGCTTTACAAAGCAAAAACAGACAAACTGTCTTGATATACTAAACTATCACATAAATAAATCAGTATCAGTATTTTTCTTTTCTGCAGTTTGAAATAATCGGATATATATGTGACATGTGCCGTTTTCCATTTCTGCAGCTCCATGACTGCGTGTCAGTACTGTACTGCCACAAATTGCTGTCACCCTGCCTCTCTCCGTGCTTCAGGATTATCTCTGACAGAACAGTTGCTGTTTATTTCTTTTAAGAGACATCAAAACATATTTTTGTTTTATCCTAAAAGCATGCAGGGAAATGCCAGAAGAGGATTCCACGCAGCCAGGCTTGGGGATGAGTGTACACTGAGTGGGGAGGGAGCGTGTGCAATGTCAGGAGAGAGGTGGGTGTTCCCTATACTGGCTGGTGGCGGAGGCTTTGTGTGTGTATGTGAATCATGACTTTGTACAGGTGGCAGCTGCTGAGCATGTCACTGGGAGGTTGTGACTCACTGCGGGAGGCCCGACATTACTGTATAGGCACCCAGCTGCTACAATGCTTCCTACGCAGTGCCGCTGGGCCCTGCAGCGTCATCTCTCTCGGGGACAATCGGCAGGCCTTGAAATGTTGCTGAGCCAAGATATGTCTGGCTGGATTCAAGGGGTTAGAAAAAAACGTGATGACAAAAAAAAAGTTCGGTCTGCTGATCTGAAATAACTTCCGTGTACCAATCAAGTGTTGTGTTAGGGATGCACAAGAAAATCATTTCTTTGCAGATTTAAAGTGTAACTAAATCATCAGCACAACATTGCTTATGCACAGGATATAATGTCATTAAAACCATTTGCAACCTATTTTCCTTCCTAATAATTTCTATGCGCTTTCTTTATCTTTGAAAATTGTATTGCAATGCACTGATCCCCTTATCTTCCTGTGCATGCACCAGTTGTATAGATGCAGTTCCATCTGCTACAGCAGTGGGGAGCTGCTGTCCTTTACAAGAGGTTGAGGTCAGTGCAGAGGGAGTAAAGCCGGCCTTTTTTCTACCTGTGATAGCACATATACTGGAATTATGGCGGTTTTTCAGATGTTATTATACTTCGGCACGGAGAGGTTTTTTTCTATTATTATTATAATACAGGATTTATATAGCGCCAACAGTTTGCACAGCGCTTTACAAAATGAATGCAGACATTACAGTTACAATACAATTTGGTACAAGAGGAAACAGAGGGCTTTTCTAAGTTATATGTCCAGCTTATACTTTGATTGAGGCGTACCTCCCTGTGGTGCTAATTTACCAGAGATATATATCCATTTCCTGATTTTGAGTAGGGACGTGGTTGTTCGATCTATATGCTCCTGTTTTTCCCTTTATGGGCTTTAGTCTTGCTACTAGATATGTACTATCTATACATTGGCGCTCTGGAATTGCTAATATGATATCTATGAGTACCCATCTTTGGTCTCTGCCTCCCCTTGGTTCAGGCGGAAGTGATTATATCCTCAGAGTTGTCATGCTGTTTTTAGATATTTGACACATTTGAGCGTAAAGGTCTGAAGAAGGGGTTGTTACCGTGAAACGCGTAACTTTTCACCCTCAACTCATTATGATTTCTGTAATATAATCTGCTTTTATATTTTGTTTGAAAAAAATTGTGATATGTTTTTATATATATCAATTTACAATTTTGAGTATAGGTATAGGGTATAGGATTATAACTTTTTTTTTTTATAATGGTTGAACTTGATGGACTTTTGTCTTTTTGCATCCAGACTATGTAACTATGAAACAATTTTGATTTCATTTGCTTATATATACACCGATAGGTCACTCTAGATGTCCCTACTTTCTTTCCTCGTTTTTGTATACTATTTTTAGGGTGGTCATCTCCTGGTGTATGTATATATATATTTCACCTCACTGCTGCAGATGCAGCCTCAGCACATATATATATTTTGACTAAAGCCAGCCATGGACAGTTCGAATTTCAAGATTTGAACCATTTATGGGTTGGCTGAATGTACCCAAGTTGGATAGAACCAGCCTGTTGGAGTTTACATGCGATTATTGCTAGCGGCTATTATAGCCGCTAGCAGTAATCACTGTGTTCTCTCAGCGGGTAATGGACTTATGAATAGAAGACAGACTGAAAGGTCCTCCCTCTTCATTCATATATTGTGCATCTTTAATAGAAGCTGTAATACAGCTTATGTGAATGGAGCAGTTGGATGGAAAGGGCGGGCATAGTCGGGCACTCTTGAGGAGAGCCTTTGACAGCTGCCACAGTTCTATTAGCCTCCGCCACAATAGAAGATTACACAGGGGGCATGGATGGAAGATGATATCACCTAACAGAAAAGGCATCGTCACAGGGGACACATCCTACTGACTGTAAGTTATGTTCCTAGTGCTGATTTTTGTTCTTTTTAATTTTGTCTGTGCTTAGGCTCTATCTGTTTAAGTCAGGTCTAAACCCCAAAACACAAATTGTAATATTTTGCAGCAAGTGCAGAAAATACTAGTTGATCTTGCCAGAAACGTAGCATTCTTGTAACTTCCTGTGAATTGATATAAAACCAGAAACTACTTATCATCAAGCTATCTTCTGTAAGCTACTAAGTCGCCCACCACCAATGTAATGGTGACGAACAGAGGAAGATGTAGTCAAAACCTGGGTGACAATCATGGCTCCCACCATAGATACATTGGAGTGAGTAAGTATTACCACTATAGGACAGGAAGTGTTTTATTCCTAGGATTACCAGGTGAAAAATTAAAGTAGTCACCACATCTAAAGACTAGTAAGCTGCAATATATTAAATTTTTTGTTTTAAGGCTTTGAGATTTATCAAGGCCATGTGTTGTGAGGACCAACCTAAGCAATTTATTTAGTTAGTGACCAGTCAGGCAGGCACTTGTTCTAAACAGCTGTTGGTGGACCTCAATGACAGCATACAGTCCATTAGTGTATGGTCAGCTTTAAAGTGGAATAATACTGCACTTGTAAAAAGGCAGTACTTACCTTTAATCCAGTGCACACCCCCCCCCCCCCCACCATAGTAAGTCCTCTGCATCTTCAGATGTTCCCATGTTTCAAAGTTGAATGACCACCAACATCATTCAAACAGCTTCTTCTTAGCCCAGGATATCATGGATCCAGCCTCAGAAATAGTGTCCGGCTTGGGCACTGAAAAGTGCTCACACCTCTTTACATGAATATTGTTCAGTCCATGGCCACAGTGTATACAATCAAGCACCGCACCTAGGCATGCAGACTGCATCTACAAACATGTGAAAGAATGGGTCGCTCTCAGGAGCTCAGTGAATTCAAGCATAATACCGTGATAGGTTGCCACCTGTGCAATAAATCTATCCGTGAAATTTCCTTGCTGCTAAATATTCCACGGTCAACTGTTAGTGGTGTTATAACAAAGTGGAAGCAACTGGGAACAACAGCAACTTGGTCACGAAGTGGTAGGTCAGTGTATGCTGAAGCGCACAGTGTGCAGAAGTTGCCAACTGTCTGCAGAGTCAATAGCTAAAGACCTCTAAACTTTGTGTGGCCTTCAGATTAGCACAATAACAGTGCGTAGAGAGCTTCATGGAATGGGTTTCCATGGCCAAGAAGCTGCATCCAAGCCTTGCATCACCAAGTACAATGCAAAACATCAAATGCAGTGGTGTAAAGCACGCCGCCACTGGACTCTAGAGCAGTGGAGACACATTCATTAGAGTTACAAACCACGCTTCTCTGTCTGGCAATCTGATGGGCATGTCTTGGTCCTACGGTTGCCAGGAGAACGGTACTTGCCTGACTGCATTGTGCCAAGTGTAAAGTTTGTTGGGATTATGGTGTGAGATTGTTTTTCAAGGGTTGGGCTTGGCCCCTTAGTTCTAGTTAAGGGAACTTTTAAGGCATCAGCATACCAAGACGTTTTGGACAATTTCATGCTTCCAACTTTGTGGGAACAGTTTTGAGGATGGCCCCTTCCTATTCCAACATAACTGTGCACCAGTGCACAAAGCAAGGTCCATAAAGACCTGGATGAGCAAGTTTTGAGTGGAGGAACTTGACTGGCCTGCAGGGAGTCCTGACCTCAATCCGACAGAACACCTTTGGGATGAATAATAGCAGTGACTGCAAGCCATCATGTCTGACATCAGTGCCTGACCTCACAAATGCTCTCCTGGAAGAATGGTCAAACATTCCCATAGACACACTCCTAAACCTTGTGAACAGCCTTCCCAAAAGAGTTGAAGCTGTTTATAACTGCAAAGGGTGGGCCAACTCAAATATTGAACCCTACGGACTAAGACTCGGATGCCATGAAAGTTAATGTGAGTGTAAAGGCAGGCGTCCCAATACTTTTGGCAATATAGTGTGTGTGTGTGTGACAATTGAATCACTAATTGAAAGGGGCATGTTCAAAATAATAGCAGTGTGGAGTTCTATTAGTGAGGTCATTCATTCTTTGAAAAACAGGTGGCAATTATTGCCCTTATTTAAGTGCATTTCTCTCTGAAATTCTGAGGAAAATGGTTCATTCCAGACATTGTTCAGAAGAACAGCATACCTTGCTTAAAAAGTTGATTGGAGAGGGGAAAACATATAAAGAAGTGCAGAAAATGATAGGCTGCTCAGCTAAAATGATCGCAAATGCTTTAAAATGGCAACCAAAACCTGAAAGACGTGGAAGAAAGCGAAAAACTACCATTCGAATGGATAGAAGAATAGCCAAAATGGCAAGGACTCAGCCAACAATCAGCTCCAGGAAGATCAAAAAGGTCTAAAGTTACCTGTGAGTACTGTTACAATTAGAAGACGCCTATGTGAAGCCAAGCTATCTGCAAGAAGCCCCCGCAAAGTCCCACTGTTGAAAAAAAGACGTGCTGAAGAGGTTACAATTTGTCAAAGAGCACATTGACTGGCCTAAAGAGAAATGGCGCAACATTTTGTGGACTGATGAAAGTAAGATTGTTCTTTCTGGGTCTAGTGGCCGGAGACAGTTTGTCAGACGACCCCCAAACACTGAATTCAAGCCACAGTACACTGTGAAGACAGTGAAGCATGGTTGCGCAAGCATCATGATATGGGGATGTTTCTCATACTACGGTGTTGGGCCTATTTATCACATACCAGGGATCATGGATCAGTTTGAATACATCAGAATACTTGAAGAGGTCATGCTGCCTTATGCTGAAGAGGAAATGCCCTTGAAATGGATGTTCCGACAAGACAATGACCCCAAACACACCAGTAAACGTGCAACATCTTGGTTCCAGACCAACAAGATTGATGTTATGGAGTGGCCAGCCCAATCCCCGATCTTAATCCAATAGAAAACTTGGGGTGACATCAAAAATGCAGTTTCTGAGGCAAAACCAAGAAATAGAGAAGAACTGTGGAATGTAGTCCAATCATCCTGGGCTGGAATACCTGTTCACAGGTGCCAGAAGTTGGTTGACTCCATGCAACACAGATGTACAGCAGTTCTCAGAAACAGTGCTTATACAACTAAATATTCATTAAGTGATTCAAAGGAAAGCAAAATCTTCAAACATTTTTCAGTTTATATAGTGAATGTTTGAGTTTGTAAAGAAGAATACAAACACTGCTATTTTTTTGAACAGTCTAATATTCACTTTTCTTCAAATTTTTTAGAGGAACAACACAAATTTGATCTATTTTTCTTCATGTTTTGATTTGGAATAGAATGTGTAGTGTTCCCAATGCATTTGTATGTATGGAAATAAAAGCTATTAGAAGGATGTTGAGCTTTATTCACTTTTTTTCAACACACTGCTATTATTTTGAACACAACTGTATATCATATTTAGAGATGGGTGGTTGCTTAATAGCTTGAATTCTGCATGAAGGCTCTAATTGGGTGCATTGTTAAGCATCGTCTTCCTTATGCTCACCAATGTATGCAAAGGTCCATTATCACTGCTGTGTATTACAATCTGATTTTTTAAGCATGAGTGTCTTCTGCTCTCTAAATAGAATTTGGATTTCCTCCAGCATCTCAGCAGGGATCATAACATTGTCCTTGATTTCTCTGTAAGGTTTCAGACATCTTTAGCAAGCTGAATGATTACTGATTCCTATAATATTTATTGGAAAGCGGAGTTTCAGCCTGGTCTATAGAGCTTTGTAGAAGTAGTAAGCACTAAATTATGTTTAAATAATGTTAGTAAGCACTAAATAATGTTCTAGAACTATTGTGAACTGCTCCAGCTCAAATTTTAAAATACAAATCTCTCCCATGCTATGTCCTTCCACATTACAATTGCTTTCTCCCTTTCCCTTTAGAGCTTCATTCATTTAACCATCAATTTCTCTCTACAGATATTTCTTTGCAAGTCCCCTCCAAGTACATAATCTCTCGCTTTCTCATACAGTTCTTTCATTATATGTTTCAAAGCTTTCTCTCTCTATCTCCAAGTCTTTCTTGATGGAAGTGAGACGACTGTCAAATTTATTGTCACTGTAGTGTTTGCAGATAATTATGCTTTTATAGTAATAAATTACTATGTGACTCAGAAGCCGAGCGACATAACGTCATTGGTGCAAGTAGGTGAAGTATATTCTAGCTACTAAGCATGAGGTAGACTTGAAATGTGAACTGGCTGTACGGGAAAGAATCTGTGACAAGTTTCTAGGAAAGCTGTTTTTCCACCGTAGATGAAATTCTACAGCCTTTGTGTATTGATACATGAAAACAGGAGGGGGGGGTTTCTTCGTTCCTTAAACCTTCTCTACCTGTCCAAATGGAATTACCTAACTTAGAACAAGTAGATATGGAAAAATTTGAAGAAGACCTGAAGGCAGTGTTAGAAGAGACCGCAGAAGATTTCTCACCTCCAGCCTCCCATACACCTGATGTCAGGGCTTTGCGAGGTAAGCTTGCCAATGTAGATATTCTGACTTTTGCTGTGCACAAAAGCCTCAGTATATCACACTTGATTTTCCTCAGTCTCTTCAGGCCACTCTAGGTACTAAGAAACCTGCAAAGTCTTCAAAGACCTTTTCCATTTATGAACAAATAGAATGGGCAGCTTATGACATTGGGTTTCTTCTGAAAAAATGTCACCCCTCTTAGAATTATTGCTGGGCTATATATAGTGGAAAAATAATTCACAAAAAATTAGACTGTTCCAGTAGTAGACCCTGTCGTCTTAAATATCCTACCGTGCCTATAAAAGATGCTCCTTCATTTACTTTTGCAAGTAAAAAAATGTGCATTTATTATTTTTGTCAGAGGAGCCGGTAAAGCATTTCACCAGCGATCAGTTGATCATTGATGCCATGCAGATCTCCTGCAGACCTGTCAGAATATCTGCTTGCGGTATGGGATGTACGACCAAGCAGATCTTCTGACAGGAAGCTTCAATTAACTACCATGGTTCTCCACAACGCCATGGTAGTTCATTGAAAACTACAAGCCCACAGTCGCTAAGACTGTTGGCAATTACAGTTCATTAATTCACGGAAGTCCGTGTCTCACTGTATTATCTGTCAGAAAGAGGGGGGCGGCATGCTCTGCTGAATCATTGGGAACGTGTTACGTGTTCCACTCTACAAACAGGTGGAACATATGTAACATGTTCCCAAAGGTGAACTTATCCTTTAAGGATGTTGTAGATAGAAAGTTGGAAACGCTTTTGAAGACCCTCTTTACTTTTGCAGGTCCAGCCATGCAACCAGCTATTGCTGCATTATCTGCTTGTCAAACTGGAGCTAATTGAACTAGAATGATGAACACTCAACAGAATCCTATATTTCAGGAGTAAACTCTAGTGGAACATTTATAAACTTGGCCTTCAGCCTTACTTAGCTGTGTTGATGCTTAGAACAAGTCATGACACAAACTTCCAGAAGGGCTCTCGTTTTTGTCCATATACGCAAAATGTTATGGTTGAAAGCCTGGTCAGCTAAATCAGCCTACAAAAGACACCTCATATGTATGTCTTTTGAAGGAGGATCTCTTTTAGGTGAAGCACTTGACAAGTTCATAAAGGATGTCACAGGAGGAAAGATCTTTCTCCCACAGCGGAAGGCTTCAGAACCCCTCTTCTACTTCGCAGATTGCCCCATGGCTTTCCTCAGGCTTCAACTTTAAATCCCTAATTCAACCCTTCCTTTTCACACAAGACTTGGAACACAAAACCCACAGAGTCTGTCACAGAGCCTTCTCCACAATGAAGGAGCACTTTAACCCATAGGAGTAAGGTTTATCACTCACGGTTTGAATTCCTCTGTGTCACATACAGTCATGGGCAAAAACATTTGCTCCCGTGTATTTCTGTTAGTGCACCACTTCACCCAGAAAATTGTTGCAATCACAAATGTTTAGAAATTCTCATTTTTATTTCTTTTATTTGTATTGGTATGACACAAAAAAGTGGAGACACAAAAAGCCAGATCTGACATATTCCATGCAAAACCCCAAAAATGGTCTGGACAAAATGATTGGCACCTTCTCAAAATTGTAAGAAATAATTGCATTCCAAGTTTGGGATGCTTCTGTAATTTGTAATCAAACTCATTGACCTGTATTAATTAACAGGTGCTGACAATATAGACATCACACTGGCAACCAGTTAAAATGGTGAAAAATGTACTGAATCTTTCTGTTGTGTGTCTCTGTGTGCCACATGGAGCACGGAGAAGAGAAAGAGCAGCAAATAATTACAGTCATGGCCGAAATTGTTGGCACCCTTGATATTTCTCCAGGAAATCATGTATTTCTCACGAAACGTATTGCATTAACACATGTTTTGCTATACACATGTTTATTCCCTTTGTGTGTATTGGGACAAAACAAAAAAAGGGAGGAAAGAAAGCAAATTCGACATAAATGTCACACAAACCTCCAAAAATGGGCTGGACAAAAGTATTGGCACCCTTTCACAACTGCGGATAAATAAGAATGTTACAAGCATGTGAT